TTTCATATTAAATATCCCATACGGAAACATAATTTGTGTTCTCAGAGTTTATGTAACGGCTTCTAATTTCTTTATCCTGTCATTCAGTGAAATTGGTGATCCCTTTGGAAAGATGGAAAGAAAATGTATGTGTGTGTGCGTGTGCCCGCACACACACGCACACACAAAGGAATGGAAAATATAAAAGTGTAGAAGCAGCAAACATCTGATTTTCCATTGGCACTTCCTCCCTACTCCATTTACTTCCAATTTCTATCCCATCTCCTGCCTGGTAACATGTGTCCTACAGCTTCCAACACTGCAGTTTTACCATCATGATTTGCATTCCATGCATTTTTTCCAGTCCTGTTTACTAGACACATTTTCTCACAACATACAGGCTTTAGTGAGCAGTGAGATTGACACAGAGCTTGATCGGAATCCATTTTCAATACCAAGGCTAAGTGCTGGCACAAATAACAAACTTATTCACAGATCCAGCGTCCTGTTCAAGGCAAGAGCTGCAGTTTAGGCTGCAATGAAAGCATCCTTAAGAGGTGACTACTTATCCTCTTCTGAAATGCCTCCTGTGAAGGAGAGCTGACTACCTCCATAGGCAGTTTGTTCTACTGTTGAATGGCTTTTACCTGCTTTTACTGAAACTGGCTGCCTACATTTTCTGTCTATTGTTTCCAATCATCCTTTCTAGAGTCTGCTCCATGGTGTTCATGATAGTCCGTTGGCTGTTGGAAGGTTCTTCTCATATCTGTTTATTACCCTTCATTGACTCCCTCCTTAGTTTCCTCAGTAAACATCCCCAATTCTTTCTTACCGTTTTTCACAGAAACAATAAGCAAGAAACTAGTCCCTCAGAGCAAGCACAGGTTGCTGGTCCCTTGCTTTGTAACAACAACCAGCTCCATTTCCAGACGTATAATTAAGGTTGGACTTAAATTAAGGACCCAAAATGTCATGCTAGATGTCATGTGAATGATATGAATGCATTTAACCTGCTGCTTTTAAACACAAAGCAGCAGTGGAGTCTAAAATGCACCCGGACTATAGGGGCTGGGTAAGAAGAATTTAATCCCCTTCTGTGCTCCTGATTCAAATTGTTCTCCTATAAGTGGATATTTGCATTGGGTGAGGCCTGCTACAAACTTTCCTTCACAAAGGCAAGACACTAAGTGCTGAGTGCCTTTCCAGGTGTTATGAAAGATGTTATGCTGCTACCACTGTTGCAGCAGAAACACTTATGGAGTGGAGGCAGTGGAGGATGAGGTGGGTGGAGGCAAGTTAAAATTCAGTCTTAACTTCATTGAGCATCCACTTTTCTACTGTCTGTCTATAGGGCTTTTCTCCAACACCACATTTCAAATGAGTTTATTTTTGCCCCAGTCTTTCTTCACTGTCTTTCTTTCACATAGTATGGATGATTTTGACCTTGGTTTCCAGTGAAAATATTTGCTAACTCCCAGCTCTCCCTTCTTTTTTTATTTCAAAAGATGAGAGGATGTATTTCGGAAAACAGCCGCACAACATGTGCACAACTTTTGGTCTGATACAGCTCTTTTTTTCCACATGAAAAGGGTTGAGAAATTGGAAGATAACTTTGTAGTTGTGTTCTGTGGGCATGGTAATATTAGTTTACCTGAGAGGTTAAAGGGTATGTATGTTTCCTGATTGTACTTAATCACACTTTTGCTTCAAGTTTCATTAATTCCCAAACAGTCCTTGAGGTACAGAGGGTGTACAGTCACATCCCAGTCACATTGCTTCTGTCCTCTTTCAGCAACCATAGTACATGGGATATTGTGCTTCTGCATCCACAATACAAATCACCAGGAAATGGCCTGATACTGATGCACAATATAGTGCCCACATTGCCAGCAGGAAAGGGTATTTACATAGCAAACGGCAGCCTGAATGTTGACAACACCAGTGGCAGTAGTCAAGATGGTCTATAGGACACCCTCTTGTGCTCACTTCCATCAGTAATATGCCTACAAATGTATATGTTTATAGCTTCTACCAGAACCCTTTCAAGACAAACATATTTCCAGACATATCTAAAAATATAGATAATTACTTAATGTTTAGCCGGCTGGATAGCTCAGTGTTTTTGGTATCTGACTACAAAAACAGAGCTTGCCTCCTATAGCCAGAGGGAAAATTTACCATAGTTCATGTGGAAATTCTTTTACAGAAGAGTCCAGAAAATGCTTATAATCAGGAGCCACTTAAAGCTTATTATCAGAGGGTCCAAGTCGAGTTCAGAGGAAACCAATTCTAAGATATAATCAACACAATTGTTTATTTTGGAACACCAGCAGTATCTGTGTAAAATTTCATATTTCTAGTTTCAACCATTTTAGAGATCTTTCAGGACAAACAACCTTTTGAAAATATTTATAATATTTATATTTAATCTTTTATACTTTATTGAATCTCTTCCTGAACAATGAAAAATCATACAGCTATGACTTTCAGCCAGGCAAGCCAACGTCTATAAATTACGGCAAATTTAGTCCGTATTACTTCAATCAGACAATGCTACGGTACATCCCATTTGGTGGACTCAAAGTCTATTCCTATGGGCCATCACTCTGTTCGTAGCAAGTCAGAATGAATTCAAGTAACCCAATAGTGGTATAAAGGCATACAATGAAGAGAGGAAAGAGAGGATGTGGCTGTGTCTTTAAGAAAAGTAGCCATCTTGACAATCTTGTCACAGTTGTGCAGAGCTTTCCAAATTCTTTCTTCTGTGTAGCACAGAAAACGCTGTGAAACCTTTGTTTTCTTCCTCTGTACAAGTCAAAATCTGATCTGGCGAAGAATTTCCTCTTCCAGTGCTGGGGGATCAGTACTTTGGCCATCAGTAAAGGTCTGAACAACCACCTGAGTTCCTACACTACCAGGAGGTAGGAGCCAAATAGGGCATTCATCCCAGAAAGACTCAGAACCAGATACAGTGGTGCCCCGCAAGATGATGTTAATCTGTTCCATTGAAATAGCTGTTTAGCGAAAACATCGTCTTGCGAAAAGCGTTTCCCCATTGGAATGCACTGAAATCCGTTTAATGCATTCCAATGGGGAAAACAGTCATCGTTTTGCGAAGATCGCCCATAGGGAAGCCATTTTGCAAAGCCGCCGATCAGCTGTTTAAATCATTGTCTAGCGAAGCATCAGTACTGAAAAAAACCCCATCTTGCGAAGCACGGACCGAAACATCGTCCAGCAAAAATCGCCCATAGGAAACACTGTTTTGCGAAGCACAATGGCGATCACAAAAACTCTTCGTCATGCAGATTTGTCATTTTGCAGGGTAATCGTCTAGCAGGGCACCACTGTATATAGTTTATAAAGTTCAGGTCACACAAACTTTGTGTGTGGGAAATTATGGGCACATTGGGCATATAGTTAAGCACTTCCATTCACATCAAAATACCAAGAAGGAAGGCTAGAGATCTCCAATGCTTCTTTAACTAAACTAGGCCACTAAACATACAATGCTTGACTCGTTCATTAGTCTGTGTTTTAGGGCATTGTGACTAATGGAACAAATGCTACCCAATAAATAGCCACTGTCCTGAGAAGGAATGCGTAATAACATTTTAAAACGAATAGTGGTCATTTAATATGGATCATCTTTCAGGAAGAAGGAGCTGTAAAAGGATGTCTTGCGCAATTCTTCAATTAGCAACAGATTCCTCTTACAGTTATTACTACAGTTTCCCTCCCATTCAACCAAAGTAATTAAGCAAATTACATGCTGTTTTCCTGTGGCTGGAAACACCAAAGATCACAGTGTTTGCACCCAATGTACATTTTGTTAACTATGTACTTAGATAAATGCTTTTTTAATATGCTGGCAAAACAAACCCTCTAGTTTTGAAGGGATACCATGTTCCTTTGTTGTTGTTGTAAGCATTGGTTCAAAACAGGGTGAGCCCAGTTCTTCAGGGCCAATGGCTCTATGCCACAGTCAAGTATTTTGTTTAAATATAACTTTAACCTGGTAGAAGCAAAGAAATGTCAAAGGGAGATAAGAATCAGAGACTGGTGCCTTACAGTCATGGGGTTCCAGTTCATCACCACTGGGGCATGTTTTGCTTTGGTTGTTGTGGGTTTTTCGGGCTCTTTGGCCGTGTTCTGAAGGTTGTTCTTCTTAACGTTTCGCCAGTCTCTGTGGCCGGCATCTTCAGAGGACAGCACTCTGTGCTCTAGTTTTGTTTGTTTAAATTTTTTAACTTGAGGCCTCTAAATTTGCTTCTAAAGGGTATGCCATTCATGTTAGGCCAGCAGAAAATCTGAATAGTTTTTGGGCCATGATGTATTAATTGGTGAGGAACAGAGAATGTCATATCTGTTCAGACTGGTTACCCAGTGTGTCCCAGATCAGATTCAAGGTTTTGACACTCACATATATATAGACTTTCATAGTTTGGGACCACGTGACCTGTCAGAGCATCTTTTCCCAAAGTCATCTGCCGGACACACTAGATTGTCTCAGGCCAGGCTCCTCTGGGTAGTCACCCTGAGAGAAGCCCAAACATCATCTACCAGTGATACAGCCTTCTCTGTGGTGACACCAAGACTATGGAACCAGCTCCTGGAGGAGCTATGACTGGCCCCCTCCCTGTCTTCTTTTAGGAGAATTGAAAACACTTCTTTTCAGGTGGCTTTCCAATCTGACCCTGGTTAAGCATTTCGCCTCCAGCTAAGCTTTTCTATGATAATTTGTTGGTGCCACAGGCTCTTTTTTTTAAAAAATGATCTTGCTACATTATTGCTATTCTCTTTTTTTTAAAAAAATGATCTTGCTACATTATTGCTATTTGGTGTTATATTCTAGTGTTCTGTTTTCAAGTTTTGTTTTTAATCCTTTGTAAACTGCCTAAAATAGTGCTTTGGCACTAATGGGTGATAACAAACAAACAAACAAACAAATGCATCTGTATACAAAACATATCACATGGAAAGCTGGATTAGATCTGTATACATAACATATCACATGGAAAGCTGGATTAGATTCAGATGAAGGATGAAACTGGTGGAAACAACAACAATAATTTAAGATACGGAGATGACACACTATTCCTGGTGCCTGCCGTAGTCCCACGATGCCCACTGAAGAAGAGAATGGTAAGCCACTTCTGAGTACATTCTACCTAGAAAAACCTGAAAAGGGTGACCATAAGTCAGGACTGACTTGACAGCACACAATTATATCTCTTTCTAAATTTCTAAATCTATACTTACACATTACCATATGGAAACTGCATGCAAATGTCCCTTTTCTCTAAGTGGTACACCCTAATTTTCATGCAACAGGTCCCTGGCAGTCTACATCCACCTGTTTCTTCCACCTATAGCTATATGTGGCTAGGTGCATGTTTCATAATCAGAAGGTCCCAGGTCCCATCACCCATTCAATTTCAGACTTCCTTGGTGGTGGGCCCTTTCCCTTTGGAATATCCTTCTGCTGGACGCACATGAAGTCCTGTCTCTTCTTATTTTCAGAAAACTTGATATGGCAAAATTTTATAAAGAAGCCTTTAAAAACATGCTTCCTCTGAGATAGGAACTTCTGATTTTTATTTTGGAGCTTAGACTGTCACCATATGGTTTTGTTGTGTTTGTTACCGTATACTATTCTGTTTTTTTCTAATGTTATTGTTGTGGGATACTGATGATGATGTGACTTTAATTTCCTGTATGTTCATCACCCAGAGTAGTGAACTTTCACTCAGTTATAAATCAAATAAATAAGAAAACAAGAATAAAATATTGAATAGTGTCTTTAAAAAGACCTGGCCTAAGCTTTAGGGACCAATAGTTGCTACAGGGTAAAAGAGCTGCATATGTTTATGTTCAGCACAGTGTGAATGGGGGTGGTTGAGGGAGGGCTAACTTCTAGTGGAAAGTGCAAAGGCACAGAACAGAACCAGAAGATCATGGAAAAGTTAATTTTTTGGAATATAGTTTCCATGAACCCCATGCTGGGTGGAGGATCCTAGGCAGCATAGTCCCCAAAGGCAACATAGGGTTGGAAACCAAGGCCTGTCAGGAAAGACTGAAAAAACTGGGCATGTTTAGCCTTGAGAAAAGAAGACTGAGGGGAGATATGGTAGCACTTTTCAAATACTTGAAAAAACGTCATACAGAGGAGGGGCAGGATCTGTTCTTGATCATCCCAGAGTGCAGGACACACAACAGTGGGCTCAAGTTACAGGAAATCAGATTTTGGTTGAATATCAGGAAAAACGTTCTAAATGTTAGAGTGGTGCAGCAATGGAACCAATTACCTCTAGAGCTGGTGAGTGCTTCAACACTGGAAGCATTAAAGAAAAATTTAGAAAAACTACCTGGAGATATCCTATGATTTGTATTCCTGCATTGAGCAGGGGGTTGGACTCAGTGCCCTTATAGGTCCCATCCAACTTCATTTATTCTTTGATTCTATACTCTGAGAAGGAGTGAGATATACAGACAGGTTCCAGAGTCAGCCAGTGCTTTCTTTTGTATTTGTCGTATTAGTCTGGTTTTCTTCAGAAGGCGCATGTGACTAGTTGTAAGCCTGTGTGGCCAGGAAACTGGAACGAAGGAAGATTGCTAAGCTTTAGTGTGCTCGAGACTGCTGCTGTGGCAGTTCTGTTTAGTCACAAAGGCCCAGAACGACAAGTCTGGCTATTCAAGAGATTGCAAAAGGAAACTGCTTAATTTAGCTGAGGTATGTTTTATTAACATCTGTACACCAACTATTGGTAGGGACCATATTGTATTTACAAAAAAAAATGCTTGAGGAAGCTTTTCTAAGAATATGAATGTATGGTTTTTCTCTGGCAGTGGGAGATTTTAATCATCCTGTAGATTTCACACTCAACAGCAATCACAAAGCTTCCGATCCCTCAGTCAGCTAAATGCATTTTTTTTTGGCTGAGCTCATCACATCCTAGCAGATACACAGAAAATGCCTGCAGCTCACATAAACAGGAGTACGTACACTGGGATGAAGGAATAATTCAGTTCACTGAAAGTTTTAAGAGACATATGTACATACATATTTATATATGTATACTTTTACATCCTGCTACATTGTTATGAAAAAGCTGACACTAAAGGCCGTGGCACAGTGTGGTTCCACTAGCTATGCCAAGTCGAATCAGAGCTTGGAAAACTTACTCTATGGACGGCAGCTCTCAAAAACCTTCCAGCGAGCATGGGCACTGCTGGCTGGGGTCTTTGCAGACCTATGGATCAGAAAGGAAACATTCAAAAAAAATGTTATCAGAAATATGCTTTAAAATGTAAAACTCTCTCCCAGCCCTTCCTAAATGTTAGTGTTAGTGTTCAAATAATAGCTTAGATGTAACAAACACTACTTCTTATATGAAAACTCAACCATGTTAACAGTTGCAATGTTATTTTGGAACACTAACATTATGGCGCCTTTGTTATCCTAGATAAGGTTGTGATAAGAATCTCGTTATTTATAAGGAGTTAATTTAAAACTCTAAAGGTTACAGAAATAGAAAAGGGAAGATGCCAAAACATCATGAAAAGAAAAAAAATGCATAAAACCAGCAGAAATGTTACAGTAAAAACATAACATCATGTATGTAAGCCAAAACAGTATTGTAAAAACCCTGCATAAATGGAATTCTATTTGGCTTTATGTGGTAAATTTATGATAATAAATGCCTCCTGTGGGGTTACTTTGAATCACTGAGGATGCCCAGAAAGACTATGGACTGCAGCCAAGAAATCAGAAGATGACTGATACTCGGGAGGGCAGCAATATATTACTGATCACCATGTATGGGTGTGAGAGCTAGACAGTAAAGAAAGGTGATGGGGAAAAAAGGATTCATTTGAATTGTGGTTCTGGAGGAGAGCTTTGCAGATACCCAAAAAGATGAACAAAACAGTCCTGGATCAAATCAAGCCTGAACTATTTCTGGAAGCAAAAATGTTTTAAAGTGAGGCTGTCCTGCTTTAGACATATCATGAGAAGGCAGGATTCTCTGGAAAAGACAATAATGCTGGGAAAGGTTGAAGATAGCAGCAAAAGAGGAAGACCAAACTTGAGATGTACCGAATCCCCAAAGGAAGTCACAAGCACAAGCCTACAAGAGCCGAGTAGGGCTGTTGAAGACAGGATGTTTTAAATATCCCTTATTCATTGGGTCTTCATAAGTTGGAGGCAATGTACATAAAAACAACAAACCCAGAAAGAGCACCTAGAAAAGCAATAGTCCTCCAGTCCTTTTGCTTCTCGTTGAATCCCCTCTTTTGCATATCACTAAAAAAAAGTATATTCATGGCTTCTAAAATGTATATTCATGGCTTCTAAAATGCAGCTTTTAGCTATGCAACTTTCAGAAAAGAAGAAGGATAAAAAGAAAATAGCCTCCTTAACTCTCTCTGGATGTCATTTGCAATCTATTACTGTTTCCTGAACCTCGGTAATGTTCACAAGAAAAGTGTCCTGTCCACAATAGCGGCCCCGGTCAGTGGCACACATAGGTATTTCAGGAAAGAAGGAAGCAGTTTTTTTGTCTTAATTCTTTTGGCAGTCACCTGAACTCTGTGTGCATAAAGAGTGATTCTTTCCCTAATCCCTGTTGATTGCATAACAGCATAGTGATTATTGTGCCTAGTAAAATGGACCTGTTTCAGCCGTCTCACCACTTTTAGAGGAAAGCCACAGAATTTTTGTAGTAGAAAATTGGTCCCTACTGCATCTTAAGAGGAAAAGTCATATTTCTTCTATTGAGATAAGCTTATGTCTAGCCTGCCAAAAGATATTGTTAGTGTAACTAAATTCACAGCTTTGGTAAAAAGGATTTTTTTTTAAAAAAAATCATGAATTTAATTTTCAAGAGTGAAAATGTTATATTTACAGCTACCCTAGAGAATCTTAAGCATAACAACAGATTTCCAGAAATATATAATAGAGGTGGAATATGGTTGTTTTTAAAGCAGTGCCCTTTTATCCTAATTTCTTGTACAACAGGGAAAAACATTTTTTGTAAAAAATATAGAAATCCCAAAGCATTGTGCCAGAGTGAAAACAAAAGGTTCAGCTAGAGTGCCTGTGATTTTTAAATAGATGTGTAGAAGAGTAAAATTTGCAGATAGAGCTTGACATGCAAGCTATGCCTGCTGAAATATATTCTCCTACACAACTACTAAAGGAATAGAAACTTTTGTATTTTTCTTACAGCTACCCTATACACAATTAACCCAATTTTACATGCTTTCCATTTGGACAAAAACATGCAACTGTGGAAAGTCTATGACATATTTTCTAGAAAACAGTATGCAGTAGTGTTAGTAGTAGAGTAATTAATATGCAAAATTATAAAATAAAAAGGAATCTGGAACCAGTGGTGAAAATTTAGCTTGAGGACATATTTTATCGTATAACATTCCGTTTGGTTTTTCAAAATCAGGATTATTATTTCTTTTACACTTCAGGTTGGATCCAGATTTGGAATCAAAAAGATGGAAGGTGGACTGCACCTCAGTGAAGCAAATGCATCAATGTTTGGCAACTCACAAGGACTGGGAAGAATATGTTTGACCACAGCATGAAAAACTTCATAAGGAGGGCTTTACGCTGAATGGGAAGGGGAATGGAGATGTAAACTCAGAGAGTAAGGCTTATACATGCACAAGAAGAGAAACACATCAAACAGCTCCAATAAGGTCCAATGATCTTCATAAAAACGTACAAAGGAAAGCAGGCAAGAAATCACACAATCTCCAATGTCTATACAGTATATGAATTCCAGGAGTATAGGAAATCAACAAGAAGAACTGGCAATCAGTTCAGGAGGGTAAATAACTGAAACTTGGTGGGATGACTCTCATGGCAGAAATTAAAGAATATAAATTATTTAAAAGAACAGAAGGAATAGAAAATGTGGTAGAGTCATACTATATGTAAAACAAAATACGTATTCCTACAGATAAATACAAGAGGATGATCTTGGTTGCCCCTTTGAAACCATATGGATTCATATAATTTGGGTGAAAAATAAAGAAACTGTGGGTAGTTGTACTGTAATCACCCGCTGATTACCCAATCAAACAGAAAAAACAGAGGAAACCTTTAAAAAACAAATCACAAGAATTTCAAAGAGACTCAGTGTAGTCATAATGGGAGATTTCAATTGTTCTTATATTTGATGGGAGGCAAATTCTGCCAAATATGGCCCTTCCAAAAAATTCCTGGCTTGTGTGGCTGATAATTTTCTCCTGCAAAAAATGAAGGAAGAAACTAGAGGATTAGTTATCCTTGACTCGATTCTAACCAATAGAGATGACTTTCAACAAGAAAGTCCAACAAGAATGAAAAGGTGGAAGACAGCAAATAATGGCAAATGTGGCTTCAAAAAAAGTTCAGAAAAGACCTGAAAACAAAAAAGGACACCTATAAGAAGTGGAAGGAAGGCCAGGACACAACGGAAGAAAACAGACAAGTAGCAAAGAATTGCAGGGATGGGTTTGTCACAGGCATTACGAAAGCAAAAGCGGAGAATGAGCTGAGGTTAGCAAGATACACTAAAAGCCCCCCCCCCAAAAGCATTCTTCCAGTATATGTGTAGGAAAAGATAGTGAAAAGAAATATGTGGGGAAGCGCAAAAAAAAAACCACAACACAACAACACACAAAGAAAAGGCAGAAGTGCTCATTAGATCAGTCTTTTCCCCAAAAACCCTCCAGGAAAATGTGAAGTACGTGTGCAGGGCACAGGATTGAATGTTGAGATTGATAAATAAATAGTCAAGGAATATTTTATTACCTTGAATAAGTTCAAATCTCCAGGGCCCAATCGACTGCATTTAAGAGTGCTGAAGGAACTGGCTAAAAAACTCTCAGAACCACTGTCTATTATTTTCTTGAGATCATGGGGAATGGGTACAGATGCCTGAAAGAGGGTTAATGTTGACCAATGGGTAAAGTACCAGATGCCTGAAAGAGGGTTAATGTTGACCCTTCAAAAAGGAGGAACCTGGGAACTATAGAATCTGACATCAATCCCAGGGAAAATTCTAGAGCAGATTATATAGCGGTCACTCTGCAAGCACTCTGAAAATTGCAAGATTAAGACAGTACAGATTTGTCAAGAACAAATTCTGCTAGACTAATCTTGACTCATTTCTTGATCAGGTAACCTTACTGGTAGATAGTGGGAATGCTGTAGGCACAATATGTCTTGACTTTAGCAAAGCTTTTGACAAAGTGCTCCTTTATAATCCGATTAGCAATCTAACTAAATGTGGGCTAAATAGAACAACTATCAGGAGGATGCACAGTTAGTTACCAAATCTTACTCACAGAGTGCTTGTCAATGGCTCCTTCTCAAATTGGGAGGAGGTATCAAGTGGGGTACTACAAGGCTCAATCCTGAGCCTGGTGCTCTTCAACATTTTAATTAATGACTTGGATGAGGGAATGTTAGGTCAAGGTGCCAATCTTATGTAATTCATCAAGGGTAGTGTGTTGAGGACCAGCAGTAGCTGCATTTTGCCACCCTCCTGCATTATCTTGTCACTGTCTCTGGTCCAAAATGATTTTAACACCTCCATCGAATTTGATTAGGCTGTATAAAGGGAGAGTCTATGCGTTAAAAAGTACTGGGCAAATTCTAAGTTTTGCTGAACTCCTGGGGAAACAATGGTTTGTTAAACGTAGCTTTAAAAGCTGTATAAACTGACCTTTTTGCTTTGCTCAGTGCTGTTTTTTATTATTATTTTTTCCTAACCCATTAGTCTTCTATAATGGAATGCTCTTAATAGAAATTTTTATAGCATATACAGAAGTGAGAAAGGGAGGCAGGAAAGGCAGTTTGTTGTGTGCCTGTGGCCACATGGTCCTGAAACGGAAACATTTAGGCAGTTCCAGTTAAAGGGTTTCTGTGCATGTTAACAGCACTGTTAAAACTCCAGCATAACAGCTGATGCAAGCTTTTGATGTGACATTTAGTAGCAGAGCAACATTTTTGAATATTAATGGTGGACATCTATTAAATTTCATAAAAGGCTGATATCCCCTGACAGCTGTAAACCAAAGTATATATAAAAACATATTTAAAAATACAAATAAGATTGAGAATGTTAGCAAAGCAAAGTGTTCTGCTGATATACTGCCCCATAGTGTCCCATGCCCTGGGCCCATTCCAGTCGGGTTTCAGGCCGTGCTATGGTACAGAAAAGGCACTGGTCGCACTGATGGATGACCT